GGCCACTTCTGTACCAATAACATCTCTAGCATTGATTCAACACCATTTACCACTTTCCAGGCATCTGGTGGTATCATGGGAAACCATTCAAAGATGACTGGCTGATGCTGGTGTATGTTGCTGACATCCATTAAGATGCCTGCCACTGACCTCACATCATATGCAGTGTCGATTGGATTTTTGCTAAACTCAGGCAAGCTGGAGTGTGACCTACTGGAGGCATCTTCAGTGATGAATCCTGATTCAGTCTCAGTGCTGATGACCAATGCACATGTATGTGGAGGCAGTGGTCCAATCTGGCATTTGTTATCGAGCAGCATATGGTGATTACACAAGGTGTGACAGTGTGGGAAGTGATTTGTTAGGACACACAATCACTTCAAGCCGTCCTTCAAGGCACTATTATGGCTCACGGTTATGTGGACAACATTTTAATGCTGGTTGTACTGCCTATGCTATCACATCTCCCAGGTACCATTTATCAGCAAGACAACACTCGTCCACATACTGCACAGCCCTCCCAACAATGTCTTAAAGAATATGACTTGCTCTTGTGACTTCCGAGGTCACCAGACTTCTAGCCAATAGAGCATGTTTGTTACACGCTCCAAAGATAACTGCAGCCATCTCGGAATATTAGTGAGTTAAACGCCTATTTGCAAAGATTACAGCATGATCTTCCTCAATGGGTCATAGGTGACCTCTTGATTCCATACTACACCATGTTTCAGCTTGTATAGGTGGGAAAGTTAGATAGACTACTAACTGATTTGTAACCTTTTTCATGCCATAGCTTCTTAATAAAACAATCTTTTGTTCTGAGTTTGTAATCATTTGTTTATCTCCTCATACACTACATACTTGTTAAGTTTTGTGATAGTAGTTCGTTTCCTTCTGGGTGCATATATTTTTTTTGTGCAGAGTGTATATAAAATAATCTCCATTTTTATTGTGAATCAAGAGCACTAAATTATATTATTAAAACTGGTATGGGATATTTCTTTACACAGGGCATCCATATTTAAAGTTTATATATTCTGAGCTGTAATTATGGCTATAGAGCCATAAACATTCATGGGAAAAGTGTAAAATATGATATAATAAAGTGGAGGGAAAATATTTGGCACAAATCCTGATTAGTTTCAGATATTGCCATTAGAGGGCACTCTGCTTATAAATCCCATATTTATCTATATTTTTGGTTTGTGCAAATTTGATTGCAAAAAAACATGCTTCACATGGTGGCCATCATTTTCAGCTACCATCTGAAATAATAAGATAGCCTAGGTCACTACCAACCAAAGCTTGTGTGTCGATATCTTGGGCACATGTTGCAAAAATATTGGCTTTAAGATCAGTTGACATGCTTGAGCTGCAAGGCTGACCAGATGTTTCAAATTTTGCTAAAGCAAGAGGAAGTTTTTCGCTTATCAGCAATACATATTGCTGTCCCATGATCAAGCATGTCACTGAGCCTATCAGGTTAATCTCTCAAAAAAATGTGGCCCCAAAATAAACAATGCAGTAAAGCCATACCATACCTTCATTTTTGGCGAATGCAGCAGAAGATCTAGAATTGATTGTGGGTTTTTTGAATCCCAAATTTAGTAACTGAGTATTTAGTTTGTCATTCAAATGAAAATGTTCTTCTTCTATTCAGTAGATGTTCCATTCTGAATTAAATATCATAGGTAGAATGAAACTGTAGTGAGAATTGGAGTTGCATGTTAAAAATATATGAGAGCAACTGCTGCATAAGTGAAAGTTTGTATGAATGTTATTAGAAGATATTTTTCTGTATCATGAGGGCAACTGAACATGATTTATCCAATGCCTGGACTGAATTAGTGTTGTGCCTCACAGTTTGAAGCTGTGTCCACCTCTACTATTTTTGTAAAAATGAATTTTCTCCATTTTCCAGGAGGAACAACTAATGATACTATTGCTTTAAATTTCATTATCACTTTTCAGAATCAGTAAGCAGTGATCTGATCTGTTCGAGCCTCAAATCTAAAATGTCTTTGAAGCAGCTGATTCATGATTGGCATTTGATAAAGGAATTTAAATAATAAAATGGAGTTTTGAAAATTCAGAGTCATTGTACATGGCAACCACACAGAAAACAAGTTATTGGAGAATGTTTGCAGATTTTATAAAAGCTACTTCATGGTGTTGAAAAATTTGTTTGTATACAATGGTTGCTTCAGAGTAATATATTTGGAACTAATTCTCTTTTTTGCTTTAGAGAAATAATTTTGCTAAATGCCTTTCCCATCTCTTTATTATGTCGTATAAAAAGTATCGCATTTTTTCTGATGATTAGTTATAGCTGAAGGCAATTTTGAGTAGAACTTATGTAATGGATATCCTGTATTTTAAAATGCTTAATGTATCAGTTTTTGAATATTTTTTAGCATTTAAGGAAGTTATTCTTAATGATCTGACAGAGGGTATATAATCATTATTGGTAATTCTGAAATTTTTGTAAAATTATCTTAAATTTAGAGGAGAATGTATTGTTATCAGTTTGATTAAATTCATTTTCTTCTGAGTCATATACACATTTAAACCCCATACATAGTATTAATTTTACTATTTCTTTGTTTTCTTATGCTAATGATCTGTAGCTGATTTTGCTGTACTGTAGACTTGCTATGTAAGATTTCTTTATTCTGGAATTAGTGGTTTTTTAGGAAGATGCATTAATTGCACTTAAAGATTTATGACAGTGTACGTTTAGAAGTATTGTATGTTAAGAAGTACATTAATCTCTCTGTAATATTGAATTTGAAGTAGTTTTTGACTGATACATTGTTTATAACCATAAAGTATAATATACTGTTTCAGAGCTTAAATTCAACCAGGCTGCTTGGAGCCTGTTTTTGGTACTTCTCAGTTTTTGACTGAAACTGTAGCTGGAGTTCGAAATAAAATTAGTTTGAAAGTTTTAAAATTATTAAACTATTTATCATTAATTTAAATTAATTTATTAATTTTTTATTTATCTCTTTACATTGTATTTAATTGCAGTTATTATTATTTTTTTTATTTTTTTTATTTTATTCACTTAGTGCTCTGGCACATTTATTTTAGAAATTAAGCTCTTAATTTCAAAAATTAATTTTTAATTCTTAATTTTGATAAGCTAATGAATTAAACAATTTTTTTAAAAATTAATTCAACTTTTAAATTTGCTTTAACAGTGGCAGGGGACATGCAGTAGTTTATTAATTTCTCAGGTCACAGTTTTTATTTCAGTTTCTTCTGTGATAGTAAAAAATGTAACAACAATCTTAAAAGCTAAATGCTATTACATTATTTTTAAATACCTCATGAATAAATGTGCTGTATTGCCATGTGGAGATCTCCTTTAACCAGGTTAGATAAAGAGGCAAATTCAAAATTTTATTTCAGGATGAAAAGAAACAGTTTTTACAGATAAGAAAAATGGCTAAAAATAACCCATGAAAAACAGAGAAATAAACTGAAATTATCTTTAGTGTAAGGGAAATATAACAAATACAGCATCATTCTCAGAGCAAAGACTAAACTGCTGAGAAATAAATTCAACAATGTGTCAAGGAAAGCTTAAGGATAATAATAAGGTGAAAATAATCTCAATGTAAAGCAAATATTGCAGCTGTAAGATTTTCCACAAGAAAAATTAAATCTCTTAAAAGTGCATCATTCTAAAACATACTAATTTTTGTACTTTGCATTGGTTCAGTCTCCACTAAAGCCTTCTAAGTTTTGTCCAAGGAAGGAATGTATTATACTATAACCTACCAGAAAAATCACTCTTAAATTTTTGAAAATGCATTTTCTGGAAACTTAAATTAAATTATCAAAATTATCTTGACCTTGGAGAGAAATTACCAAAAATTTTTAACTTGATAATTAAGTTTTTTACCAGGACACATAGGACATCTTTACCCTGAATCTTTGTTTCTCTTTAAGATATTCTCACAATCCACATATCAGTCAATTCAGAATTAAAAACTCTATAAAGTTGAATTGGAATTAAAAATACAAACACAATGTGTGGCCAAGAAATCAAAGATTCTACATAACATAGTATAAATAAAGACAGTTACTTTAAAAATAAATAAATAAGCAAATGAGAGCAATACAATAAATAAATAAATAAAAAATTAAAAAACAAAATACAGGAAAATTGAGTTTAAATATTTTCCTAAATTATAATGGTGTTATATAGTAAACAAATGAAGAAGTTAAATAAGTCAAAACTTTTAGGTGCAGTTTTACTGAAGCTGAATCCAGTTTTATGTTGCCACTACAGTGATGAATATAATAGAAGTTATATAGTGCTTGATGTAGAAATTCTAATGCTTTGTCAAAAGAAGAAGGGTAGGCTTCAGAGCAGATTTTTCTGTACCTAATAGAAACAGAGTAGAAATTGCTAAGGTAATTTCAGAAACTTCTAAGAAATTGAAATTGAGGGAGAAATTAGTGTGAGTAAACATATCATATGTGCTCATTTCTCCCAAGTTTTAAAGATCTGCAGATTTGTCTTAAATATGGAACACTATATTTATGAGGAAATTTTTAAATACCTCATGAATGAAGGTGCTGTAATTTTTTCTTTCAAAATTGAGAATTCGCTTTTATAAACAGATTTTATGGTATTATTTAATTTGTAAATGATTTTTCAAACAGAAATCAGAAATTTTTTTTTTTTTTTTTTTTTTTTTTTTTTTTTAGCATTCAGAAAGTAAAAAGACTGAATTTGAAATGAATAGCAGAAAAATAAAATTAAAGTGTCCTCAGTTTGAAAGTTAAGTGTTTTGATAAAAGTGCACCTAGGCGGCTGCAAATTAACAATAATAATACTGCACAAGATTATATGATAAATATATTTTTGATTGTTCTAATCTGTTATGAAAAATTTCAGCTTCTCCAATACCTTTTTAAGATTTATTGCAGTTTAACTTTAGCAGCTGAAAGAATTTTAAGATTTATTTTTTTATTCTTTCCTCTAGGCTGTTCATCAGTTTGCAGCGAGGGAGGTTCCATTGAAGTACAGTTTCAATGTAAAGGTCATTTATGTCTGCATCATGTCAAAATTAAGGAGATTAGTGAGAAACGTATATCTAGTCAACAAATATTGATGGATCCCTCATTAATTTACCTTTTAAATTCATATGTAACTGGGAACATAATTGATATAAACCTCCAAGATATTTCTACTATGGACAATTCTACAGTACTGGACATTTCTACATTTCCTGCACTGAGTCTTAAATCACTTAGAGGCAGTTCAACTTCAGTCACTGTTTTAAAAACTCAGTACCAGACAGAAATTGAACAACTTCAAGAATTATATAAAGTACCCAAGGAAAGGTTGCTCTTTAAATCTTATGAGGATTTCTATAAAACAAGCAATATGCTGTATGATTTTTTGATTGTTGATCCTGTGGAATTATGTGGGCTTCTCAAAAAGAATTTGTTGGAAGACATCACAATGTTAAAGTAAGTAATGATATATTTTCTTAAACACAAATGAAATAATAACTTTTAAAGACTTTTTTTTCAGAAGTAATCAATTATGTCATATGTAGGTTAGCTTGAAAAGGACATAGGCATTTGAGATACGCTGTTTGATAAATCAGGCTTACCTCTGTTCACTAATCAAAGAAACATGTCCTTCAGATTTTGATCAGGGCCATGAGGTACAATATCCTGGTCTTATACTTCTTGCCCACTGCAACCAAGCACATGAGAGGACTTTGGGGCCAAGAGTTTCTTGAAGGGGGGGGGCTTGCTGCTGTTTTTTGTACACATAATGTGTATAAGACTCATGTGTGCTAAAAGTTTTGCTTATGTTTGAATACATATTAGAGTTCTCATAATAAGTTTCAGCTTGGTGAATCATTGAATCCGTGCATTAGGAACGGATAGTTCCTACTATATTTTGAAGAGCATTCAAACAAAATCTTTATGCTGTTTTTAGAAAGTATATTTTAAAAAAATATTTGTATGTTTCACTAATTGTTGTTTTGAGGCATAGGCTGTTTGGATGTAAAGAAATTTTCATTTGTTTTTAATTGCCAAAATAGGCTGAACTGTAAATATGACCTTTTTGGTTTGTTCAAAAAAGTGTATTTCAGCCATATTTTAATTCTTACTTTTTCATCTTTTTTTTTAAACCAGTTTTTTAGTCATTTGAATTATTCCTTTTTTTCCATATCTTAATAAAATATATAATCTCATGTATCATATATGCATGCAGAGTTTTAGCTTTAGGACATTTTATGCTATGTAAGTAGTCTGTATTAGATATCATATGGAAATGTTTCCGAAGGTGTTATCTAGTAAATGAGAAAATTATCAGACTTGCCCATCATATCATATTCATTGACAGAAAAATGAATGTAATTTATGTTCTTACAATGTTCACTTTAATTGACTATCAGATGAAATATGCTATCAAGCCTCTTATTACAATTTTTTTGTAAGTATTTAATAATAATTTTTACATGTAACATCATAATATCTAATGTTGCCACAGCTAATTAGTAAAAGTGAAGTCTACTTTTGCTTTCCTGCACAAAGTAACGGAAGTATTGTAATCGCGAAAAATTTTGGTTAGCATATTTCAACAAAAATATCTATTGATCATTCTTGAATCCATTTGAATAATGTTTTTGCATGATGTCTGTACATACAGACAGAATAAAGGACACTTTTTCCTAAAATGGATAGTAAAAAATAGATTCAGAAAAGATTTTTTCATGATGTTTGTACATAGGTATGTGTGTATCTCACATAACTTGAAAAGAAATAGCCTCATAATGTTAAAATTTTGCATATGCGAGCTATAACATGTAGTTGTGCACCTCCCTTTTTGGTTGCAATTGGCTGCACCAAAAGTATGTAAATATATTTATAAATATATGCATATCCACCCCAGTTCAGTGAGCTCAGGTTTTTTAATTCTTATATGTTGGTAAATTGTGCATTTTTTGCTTTAAAAATGGTTGAATTATTTCATTAAATTATTCTTTTGTTTCGGTTAAGGTTTTTGTGTTTATAGTTAGTTTGCATGCAATAGTATTAGAATTGAAGGTCTTGCAGCAAGAAGGGCCGAGGTCTACTTTGGTAGATGTGTTCATGGGTCTTTTTTGTTAAAAAAAAATCATTCCTTGCATGGAGTTAAAAGTTGTTTGAGTAGTTGTAAAAGATTATTTTTGATAGCACTTTTAATAAGGACAAATGTATGAAATATAAGTTAAAAAATGAATTTTTGAAATTTTTAAAAAAATTTTTCCAAAAGTTTAAAAGTGTGGAGTTGGGCTTTTCTTCGTGCAAACCCTTTAATTATCAACAATTTAAAAGTTGTTAAAGTGCTACTAAGCCTAACAAAACCACTATTTATGTACTTTGAAACTCTTAGGATAATGAATTAAGTCAGTTCTTGCACCAACTTGAGTGTCTTTTTTTATGAGTGGGTCCAAACGTAAACTTTTTCTTTTGTGCATCAAAAACATCTGTGTTCCTTCCCACTGTCCGAATTGCTTGTTTTTGTGTAGAAACTCTAATTTTAGTAATAAAAGTTTTTTAAACCGTTTTTAACTGTGTTTGGTGTTTTTGTTTTTCTGTATTTTTCAATTTTTAATAAAGATGCTTTGAATGTTTATGCATTTTTGCGTTGCTGCAAGTGAGAACTGAATTGATTGAATGAGAAATATATCTCTAATGAAATTCGTGGAATAAGTTTAAATTAAATGTAGCAAAAAATATGTATAATTTAATAGGCCATACAAAGAAGTCGGTGTGCATACATCAGATTTTTATTTTAAATTCAACGTTGGGTAGTTTATATTAGTAGTATAAAGAAGTTTGTTTAATAATTATTTCTATCGTTTAAGTAAATTATGCATGCTTAGCTTAGCTGTAACTTAGAATAAGGACTTTTTAAATAGACATCTGATGTACAGAAAGGTTATGAAAATGTTTGACTAGAGATAATAGTGAGTTGTAACTTAGGTAGAATAAGGACTTTTTAAATAGACATCTGATGTACAGAAAGGTTATGGAAATGTTTGACTAGAGATAATAGTGAGTTGTGAATTCAAAAGCTTCCACAATCCAATTTGATATTATTAAATTAATTTCTAGCATGGTGTTTCTCTGAAAATAATCCTCAGGAGGATTTTTCAGGATATTCATAATATAAGGATTATCCTTCAAAATAAGCCTAACTTGAGATCATTAGCTGGATCGATGGATGACAGATTTATTTTCAACTGACTAAATGCAAGACATGAGTACCTGCTGATAAATGGTTGTGGTTATGACTAATTAGAACCTTCATTATTCAGTACCTTCTGGGTTGTAACAGACATACTAAAGCACTCACGTGAAGTGAAGAAACATTTCCTGAATTTTGTGACTTCGACTTTTTATAACTTGAAGTCCATCCTGCTTAACAGTTTTTTTTTTAGCCACTCCTATCTTGTGTGTTATCAATTTACACTTGATTTAAATGTAGCTATAAAGAGAATGTTATTCTGATCTCTGAACAAGATGAAAACAAAAAGAAAGAGCTCTTAAGTCAAATACAAGAAAGTAATTGAAAATGTTTCATGGTATAAGAATCTTGCAACTTTTTGCCAAGAGAAGCTAGATTTCCAGATGGTCCAAAAATGGTGATCAGAGTTTAAAAATTACATTCAACAGATGGATGAGGAAAATGCTAAGAGCATTAGTGTAGCTCAGGTGGACATCATTATTTCTCATGTTGGAATAAATCATCTGTGCATGGATTGCTGACAATAGAGCGGAAGTTTTGATTGTTTACAGAGGTGATCACTGTCAAACATGTCACAGAAGAATTCTATGCACTGGATGGATGGCTTCCTTCAGTGAAATGAATTGCCTTTGAAAAGATTAACAACATTGTTCAAGCTGGAAGATACTGTAAATGTGTACTTATATTCAAGTCTTTTTTTAATGACATTGAATTGTCTAAATACCAGCTTTTCAAATTTATTGCTATGGATTGGACCACAGTGTTTATGGATCAAGAGTCTCAAACAACAGTTCACTAAAGGAGTACCTCCTCAATCTGCATTCCCTTCAATGGTTAGAGCAATGCTCATATCATCTTTTTTGGCATATAATCTGTATAATAAGAAATCCTTACCTGTATTCATAACTAAAGATGAATAAGATAATATTGATTGTTTTTAGTCATTTTTGAAACCAAATAAACCTGGAGTACACATACAACTATCATACTACCATTTGTTTTGCAAGGTGGTCAAAGAGATCTATTGGTCTGGAATTTTAGCCAGCAATCATCACACTAAAGGCAGGGATTTTCTTACAAGAAGAATAAATCAAATAATGCCTGCTACAGGAATGGCTGTCTATCTGGTATTGCTATATAAGAAAGCTATTCAAGATCATTTGCATATGGAAACCAGTGACTAGACTGAAAATAGAATGGAGAGAAATTAGTGTGGAATCTTTGCAAAGGCTAGCTTGCAAGAGGTTGCATGAAAATTCACAGGATGAAATCATTGACAGCTATGTTGCCATTGTATTACACACAGGGTACATGGGTAAGTGCTAATTTAAGAAGAGCTGTCTTACTAGATAAGAGAGATTAGAGCTAGTGGTTCTACAAGAAATTCAGGTTCAGATTTAGAGTTTGCAGTTTTATAATAATATTTCAGAAAAAGAATAAATGTAAATTCTTGTACATGCATGTATGGATAAAAGTAGCTTTTTATAAATGACTATGTGGATAAATGTAAATTATTGTGAAAGAAAAAATTTAAATGTTGTGCATGAAAAACGTAGACATCTCCTGAAAATAAGTCCTAATGCATCTTTTTGGAACAAAAATTAATATAAGACTTAAATCTTATTTTTAGAGAATACAGTGTTACTATGCTACATCTGGTGCATCACTGATATTGTACTATATTTAGCCTTTAATAATTAGAAATACGCTATGAAAAGTTGATTGATTACTATATGCATTTATTTATTTATTTATATATTTTTTGACTCTGAAGATTAGTTTTTCTCATGTAAATCTGTCAAAATTTATGAATTTGATGAATTATGTTGATATTTTTAAATATTAAATTAAAAAATGAAGTAACTTTTGTGTGTGAAAGATAATACCTCCTTCATGCTGCACACTTTATCATTTTTATTATCATCAGTATAAAAATGTGATATAAATATAATTAAAATGTTTAAACAAATTTATGCTTGGATCATTTAAAATCTTTTAGGATGAAATGTTTGAAAGAGACAGGTATTGTGATTCCTGGGGAAATTGAAATATCAGCCATGTTAATAGAAAGTCCAATACTAAAAGAGCAATCAAAAGTTGTTTGTGATGACAGGACTGCTGGCTACAAGATTTCGCAAATAATGAATGCTTACCGAGTAAGTTTATATATTTATTTTTTTTTAAATAATATATAAGAAATGAAACTACTTTATAGCCTTTATAGTTTTTCTTTGACTTACTGTTAACTTCAGTTTTTTTTTTTTTTTTTTTTTTTTTGTTTTTTTTTTTGAACTTTTGTCTAATTTGATTTATTTTTAAATATTTGTCAAAGAAATAATTATATGTACATTTTAAAACTATATGATGTAGGAGTAACTTACTGTTTATATAAGCAATATATAGAATATTTTATTATGAAACAAGTTAAGAATGCAGTTGAGATAAAGTTATGTATAGGAAACATGTCAACGTGAATGAAAAGTTTGCAGTGACAAGAAACAAAAAATAAAGTATATTTGTTTCAGTATACACGAGATATGGTAGTTACTATAATTAATTAGTAATTTTTAAAAATATATTCCCCTGTGTTTCAAAAAAAGTACAGTAATAAAAAAATAACCTTTTAAAAATATGCATTTTGAAATATGAGTTATGATAAATTTATTTTACAAAATGAATCAACTCTTAAAATATCAGAAGTAACAGAAATTATATTTCTTGTATAGTGCATACTGAAGTATTTAATTATCATTATTATTTCAGTGCCGAATTCATCAAGATATTGAATTCTCTACCTTACAACATCAAAAACTGAGTGAACCTGTTAAGTTGTGTCAAGTCAACCTGAATGACAAATCTGCAACTGACAGAAAGACTTTTTTCAACACAATGCACAAGACAGTTGAGATAGAACCCATTAACAGCGGTAAAGCAACTGCTATCATATATTGGTTTACGCTGAATTATGGTTCAAATTTTGTGGTAGATACCTCTGATCCTATTGGGTTATGGAAACAAGCAGCTTGTGTGTTGGATGATGATGTACACGTCTGCAAAGGAGAAAAAATTTGTCTAGAATGGAGCCTAAAAAATGGGTGCTTTCAGATTGGTATTTTTGACCATGCATCTTCCGTCCTTAAATGATAATTCTTTAATTTTATTTTTATTGTTTACTATGTCTTCTCTGCACAGAGATTAATTGTTATTTATGTTAGACAGTTTATCTGTATTGTTGGTATGTGCAGTAATACTAACTTCTTAAATTATATGATAAATGTTTTAAGTAGGCATTGAAGTAGTCAGAAATCTAAGAAAGCTCTCAGTGTACTTTGAATGTCATAAAACATTTCACTTCTACAAAAGCATGATAAAGCTTTGAAGGAATTTCATGTCAAACAAATGGTTGTTAAAAGTCATAAGAAGTAGTTTACTGTACGGCTTAAAATTCTATTTAAATAAGTAGAAAATTACAAATGTCACATAACTTTGCTGTCTGCAATAGAATGTAGAATATGTAACAGAGAGTGATAAAATAAAAAAGCAATATTTAATTTGAAGCATTTTTCTTTGATTTTAAATTAATTAGTAATTCAGTACAAAGTCTGAAATCCGAATATCCAATATTCAGAATGATTTAATTCGTACCTCAGGACAAACAGTAACCTTTTTTTTTTTATGCTTGCACATTTGATATTTTTTCATAATAAAACTTCATACTTCATCACTAAATAAAATACTTCCATATATTGAAGAAAAAAATCATTTATTAGCATAAATCTGTGTGATCAATAATTTGGCCCCATACCCACCTTTTTGCTTGGCATACATTTCAAACCAAAACATTTTTATATCAAAACATCATTGATTTTGTACATACTGAATAATTTATACCCCTTATCTCAACCTGCTGGTTTATTATTTTTCACTTTCATCACCACTTCACTATCAACATGAAATGATTCACACAGCAATGGTTAAGCAATTCTTTTTTAAATATAAGTAACTGAATACCAAACAGCATGGTAACTTTTTACATTGACATTACGTTTTGCGATGATTACTGACTTCAGCTAACTGCATTCCAAAGTATTGAATGGAGCAAAAAAATGAAGGGATAGTAAAATCTTTGGAATTTAGGGAAGGTATTTAGATGCAGAATTTAGGAGCGAGAAAATATTTAGAATTTAGGAAGGCATTTGGCAGCAGGATTTAGGACCTGCAGACTGTATGGGGCTGCAAAATGTCTAGCGCCATACCTGGGTAAGCCGTAAGTATATATGAGAAGTTAATTATTTGAAACTTTTATAAGTCTTAAGCATGTGCAAAAAATAACCTTAAATATAATAAATAATTAATATTATTCAGGTTTAACTTCATCAGCATGTCATAGAAGATATACAAAATTTAATGGATAACGTTTCTTTAATCACCGATTTCTCACGATAATAGTAGTGTGTAGTGAATGCAGCCACTTATTTGAAGGTTTTCAAATATCACAAGCAAAAAGAGAAATTTTCCAATTAATCGAATTTGTGAAGAAAGAAAAGGTAGTAAATGAAGATGATATAACTAAAAGTTTTTCATTGCAGTGACAATGGCACAATCATCAGTTATTTAATGGCACTGAAATCAGTAGTATGGTTCTAAATCCAAAAAATACCCCTACCGAATATGAAGAAAGTGATAGAGAGGCTGTTGAGAACAAAAAAAAAAAAAAAAAAAAAAAATTCAATTGACAATTAAGTGGGAATTCTCGACATGCAATTACAGGACTTGGAACAATTTAACATTGTAACTGAACAAGAAGTTATGTATCTGTAGCATTAAGGATAAAATATTAGCACAAAAAATGAAGTAATTTAAACAACTTACATTGAAATAAATATTTAATATATAATATTAATATTTTTTTTTTCTGCAGATTTTTGATTCCATAAGGTCATAAATGCTTCATTTATTTCATAAATGATTATTTCATATTTTAATTTTATAATTCATGCATATATTCTTATTTAAATTTTATAATTTATACATGTCTTCTTATCTAATATGTGGAAAAATCCTAAATCCAGAATCGCCAAAATCCAAACATGTCTGGATCTCAGACTTTGTACTGAAGTACAGTGAAGGTTATTCAATTTCTGTTCACCCCCTCCCCCCCCCAGTCTCAAATGTTGTATTTTTAAGCTTTATATTTTTCTTTTAAGTAATTTGGCATTCTGAGAAGTAAATTATCTTGTGTATTTGGGTATTAGCTGACATATACAGTCAAAAGTCTTTAATCCGGACTCGTCGGGACTTCGGTGATTCCGGATTATCGATTTTTCGGATTATAGATCATCAGTTTAAATCTGGTAAGATGGCATGCAGAAATTATAAAATTAAAAATATGAAACCGTAATTTATAAAATAATGAGCAATTATGATCTAAAGGGTATCAGAATTTACAAAAAAAAAAAAAAAAAAAAAAAAAAAAAGCTTAATATTTATTTGTTTACTTTATTAAACATTTCTTTCAACGCGCGCATGCGTAAAGCATACATTATGCATAGCCGAAATTAGAAAATTGCAACCAGAAAACTATTTGATTTGTATTCGTGATATTTATAATGACGAGGAATTTGATTTAAATCACATCAAAGACTAAGTACATCGAGATGGAATAGTACATTTAATAAGGAATTATAAGCCGAATAAAATAAAAACATCTGCCCTGAAGATAACGATAGTGTTGACAGATCAACTTCGAGTTCATTGCGCGCCGCCACGTTCCCCCCTCCCCGCACAGAGCAGCGTGAAATTGATAAACAGATTTTGGAACGGTTAGATAACAAAGGATATGCCTTTATCCATTTTTTGGAGCAATTCCACTTTTTGTTTGATGGACATCGAAACATACTTTCGTTTTCGTAGATCCTTTGGGAGCTCCAGCATCGGAAATTCTATTTGACATAATCGAAAATTCAAGCTTACTTTTATAAAATTGCTCTTACAGTCTGCAAAAAATAATAAGCCGGATCCAATTCGAAGATTAAGGAACAACGCAATCATCAACATTAACTGAAATAGACAATTAGATAATTTTAGCTTATACAGTCCGTTATACATTAAACGCGCAGCGAAAACGTATTCTGCGCTTGTGCACACGCAAATGCGCAGTCGTAAAGGTCTTACGCGCACGCTTAAACGCCTATGCGCATGTGTCAATGCGGCGCACGCGCAGGAAGTTTTTGGCTTTGAGGTCCGGATTATGGGTGTCCGAATTAACGACTTTTGACTGTACTAATAATCACCAAAACCCCTTTGGCAAAGGAATACATCTGCCCTGAAGAAGATTCATTAAATCAGTAGTCAATAGTCAATAGATTAAATTAAGTCAGTAGATTCATTAAATAAGATTTTAAATTTCAGATGAATTGACAGTTTTTTTCAAAACTGCAGCATGCAGATTATTATTCTTTTCAGCTTGCCTCTGCCACCATTCTGTTAAATAAGAAGGCAAATGACTTATTAACTAATTTCCAAGAATTGAAAAATGATTTTTTGGTGAAATACCACATGCTTGGAAATAATGATGATTTTATTTAATTTCTTGGCAAATCTAAAATTCATGATGCAAAATGCAATAAAATAGCATGATGAATTGTCGCAAGTGTTTTCTGTTCGTTATAATTAAACTTTCCCTATAAATGTCATCCTGCAGTGTGAACAGGTGAACGGAATGCAACAAAGTTTTACATATGGGCTATACATGAGATGCGCTCACATAATTTTGAAAAAAAAAAAAAAAATGTAGTTCTAAAATGTCCACCACAGAGTGTCCTTTCGGGAAAAATATGAAATTTAATACACTCAAAAGTCTTTAATCCGGACTCGTCGAGACTTCGGCGATTCCGGATTATCGATTTTTCCAGATTATAGATCAACAGTTTAAATCTGATAAGATGGCATGCAGAAATTATAAAATTAAAAATATGAAACCGTAATTTATGAAATAAAGAGCAATTATGATCTAAAGGGTATCAAAATTTACAAAAAAAAAAAAAAAAGCTTAATATTTATTTGTTTACTTTATTAAACATTTCTTTCAACGCGCGCATGCGTAAAGCATACATTATGCATAGTTGAAATTAGAAAATTGCAACCAGAAAACTATTTGATATGTACTCGTGATATTTATAATGACGAGGAATTTGATTTAAATCATATCAAAGACAGAATGCATCGAGATGAAATACTACATTTAGTAAGGAATTATAAGCTGAGTAAAATAAAAACATCTGCCCTGAAGATAAGGATAGTGCTGACAGATCAACTTCCAGCTCATTGTGCGCCGCGACGTCCCTTCCTTCCCGCAGAGCAGCGCGAAATTGATAAGCAGATTTCGGAATGGTTAGAGAAACAAAGGATATGCCTTTATCCATTTTTTGCAGCAATTCCACTTTTTGTTTGGTGGACATCGAAACATGGTTTCGCTTTATAGATCCTTTGGCAGCTCCAGAATCGGAAATTCTTTTTGACATAATCGAAAGTTCAAGCTTACTTTTATAAAATTGCTCTAACAATCTGCAAAAAATAATAAGCCGGGTCCAATTAGAAGATTAAGGAACAACACAATCTGCAACATTAACTGAAATAGATAATTTTAGCTTAGCTTATGCCTGTTGGCTTTAGTTTTCCACATGCAAATTTTGATCGGAGGTCGATCGGCGGTAAGCTAACGTGGTTGCCGCTGATTGGCCGATGACGTTAAGATCGGCGGGTTGGCCGAGTATATATGTACGCCGGTATCGGCGAATTTGGTTGTTTTTGTTCTCTTGTGTGATTATCAGTTAGCATTATGCTAGTTTGCTTTCAATCAAATGATTTTAAAATGTAAAGGCTACAGTGTTAGCTCTTTTATTTTATTTACGGAATAAAGCAAGAATTTTATTTAGTTTAGTCTTAGATTTATTTAAGGGAAGCAAAACATGCTTTGCCTTTATCATCACTGCCAACAGGGTTATGGGCCCAGCGCCAACAGCTAATCAGTCATCCAGTTCAACTCAGCATTAAAGGAATGCAGGTGAAGATGGCCGTTATCCACGAAAAGAAGCTGACCTGTCTTAGAAGTTTGTTCAAGTCGTTGTGCTCACACTTAATTGAAGATGTCATTACTACCTGAAGGTTTTGAGTTGTTAAACCATGACAACTGGGATCGATGGAAAGTCGACATGAAAATGCTGTTACTGGATAGAAGTTGTTGGAGCTTCATAGAAGACAAAGAAGAAGAATTAGATAAAAGTGCAACAAGGCGTGAAAAGCAGGAGTTCACACTGAGGGAGAACAGAGCCTTCACTACATTATATTACGGAATTAAAGCTGAGTTCAGGCCGCTGATACAAGAATGTTCAAGTGGTAAAGAAGTGTGGGAAGTTCTACAGAAGCAATTCGAACTCAAAACAAGAGCAAGGATAATTCAGTTACTGGATGAATTTTTTAGTATTAGATATACGCCAAATGAAGAAATAGGATTATTCATCGCAAGAATAAGAATGACTGCAAAGAAGTTGGCTGA